TGGTACAAAGACACATTCAAAAATAATGCTGATCATTTTCTAGGTTTGGTGGTTTCTTCACTTTTGATCAGAAATTGTATATCTTCTTGATATATACTCGGCTTTATGCTTCTGAATAGCTTTCTGGGAAAATGCTGAGTGCTGCCTGACAGGTATATATAAAATACATTTATAAATCTTGTTTTTGTTGTGTGTCTTCAAGTAGTTTCAGACTTAGGTCCCTTAAAGCCAAGGCAAGCTTTAAAGTCTAGGCAAGCTTTGTTTAGAGAGGGTTTGTCTTTGCCTTCCTCTGAGGCTGTGAGTGTGACTTGCCCAAGGTCACCCAGTGGATTTCCTTGCTCAAGCAGTAATTTGAACTCTATTCTTCAGTCGTAGCCCATTGCTTAAAATGCTACACCACACGGGGTCTCATATATAAATCTACCATGTCAAATATGTACTCACAAAAAAGGAATCAATCTAAAATATGATAGTCTTGAGGGAAAAAATAAGTGAGAATGCACAGTCTACAAGCAACTCAGATTTAAGAGTTCAGCCCAAACCTAGAGAATCATGGGGCACAATGGAAATTTGTTGTTTCTCTTCTTCCATTGACATCTCTTGGGAATGATAGTTACTCTGCAATCTCAATGATGCCCAAGTAAAACACAGGCAAACTCTTTCAGACTTATGCTCTCGGAAGCTATATGTTTTGTCTTTAGGTCTTGTTTCTACAGTGAGGAAGAGAAAATAGCAGAACTGAAGTTCTCATTTCGATTGCCCTCCATCTTTTATTTGACCCATCTGCTTCTGGAAATTGAAGATCTTTTACTGTTAACTGCCTTGGAGGGCTGGGGGCTATAGCGATATAAACAAACAAATTAATGTATCAATGATAAATGATACAGCAATGGACAACAGGTTAATTTCTAAAGAGGAAAGTAGCTTGGGTTAAGTCTGGCTGTGTAAAACCATTAATCTTGTTGTTTCAGTGGAGTTTATGCTGCTCCCAAGATGTGCTTACCTGCTGTTCTCTTGTATCTAGACTGCCAACCCTCACAGTTTAGAAGCCATAACTTCAGCAAGGAAGTCCAATTTTAAAAGTCCAGATCTGTGTGAATCAACAGCTATATAAACAGGGGCCTTGTGTTACTGTGCAATTACTTTACTGACTATAGAGAAAATCACCGGTATTAATAATTGATTCCTGTATGACACAGTTGAGCCTTTGGTATTTCAGGTTCTCTTTCTAGTTAGTGTAAGCCTGTGCAGTTCTTCTGAATACAAGGAATGATAGCCATCTGTGTTTCTTGCTTTGCTGCTGCATTAGTGTTTCATACTACAAAATGGAGACCACAGATGCTCCTTCATTTTTGCACAACATAGCCAAAAGACAAAAGGCACCACTTGTACTAAAGTGCTGTTATTTCTAAATGCTGATTGTTATTACTCACTGTTGTTTTGTCAGTAGCAGACAAGAACATTTTTACACATATTAGCATTTAATTAGGTTAATTTAAAGGGGGAAAACCAGTTGTAGTTTATTTTATTCATTTCAAGAAAGGAAAAATGATTATTAGGATTCCAGACAAATACTAAAACTGGAAAATTGTTCCTACTGTTTTCCCTTTAAACCATGGAACATTTTTGTCTCTATTGCTAATTAAGTTTGCTCTTGCTCCTGAAATGTAGCAATGCCTGTTGCACCTACCAGAAACATTAAAATAAATGCAATGGAATTGACTGAATACTCTTTTCTAAAACTATTATTTTCACCCCTCTCCGCCATTGGTTATATTTGTGTGCTTGCCTTGTAGTCGCACACAAAAGCTTCCAGGAGGAATGAGAAGGGGCCTTCCCTCCATTGCACATGCATTTAATCCTATTAGGGGAGATGAACATTCTTTGTTGATCTACTTACTGCCTGCTGCAGTGGGTTACTACAGGGTATTCAACAGGTTAGGCTTGGAGCATAAGTGCTCTTCAACCTGTCTATATTTCAAGAAAGACCCACTGCAGCCAAATACTTGGATAGTTGCAGATTTAATAAGACCCATACCAATTTGGAGAGCAGGAGTGGAATTACGCTAAAGAAAATTTCTGTTAAGTATGATTGACTATTATATGAAGATAAAACTCTACCATGCTGTCAGTCGGTTTGTCCATCAAATTCTTTACAGTCTGCTCTCCAGAGTCTCACATAGAGAGACATATTTTACATCATCTGCTATCAGAATCTTTACATGCCAAGGACTGAATATGAATCATAAAAGCATAATGCACGTTCACCACCACTGAGAGTTTTAGAAGCTATGCAGAGCATGGGGCGCCAATATAAAATAATGTTGCATATCTTACTGATTTAGAAAGAGACATGATTCAGAGGTTTTCAAAGCTGCAATAATCACATATACCTGGAAATGTCAAAAGAGAAAAGTAGAGAGAATGAAAATGAAGCCCAAAAGAAAGAGTGTTTAACTTGTGCAGGCCCAATCACTTGACGTGAAGGAGTAAATAAGTGCTAACATAGAGGCAAGTTGAAGAAATGCAGGAGAAGTAGTAGCACACAGAATAGGAGCCAAATGCAGGGCAAGCATGCTGGGAATTATAGCAGAAACAAAGCTAATTTCTTAAGGTGGGAGTCAAGTATATCTTTTGTATATTTTAATTTGATGGTGCTCTCCTTTGTAGTCCACGTCTGAAGCTACAGGTCCTCAGAATGGCTGTAGAAGGAGATTTGTGCAGAATTGCAAAAAGGACTGCCAAGACCAAAATCTGCTCACCTTCTGAGCTGTCTCTGCAGAATTCTTTCTGTTAGAACACATTCTCCAACTGAGGTCACCGACAAGAACAAACACTGAGCAAAAATCAGCCTGCAGTCCTGTAGCTTCTCAAACAAGTCCAGGGAAATTACTAGCCGAAATACAAACAAACAAACCTGTGACCTAAAAATGCAACAGGGAAAACCTTCTTCAGGTTTACAAAAGCCCCTTTCTAATTACTTCAAAAAAGGGTTTCTTCCAAACTTATAAAAACATTATGTTCTAACTTACGAACCCAGGCACACCTCTAGTCCATTTATGCACTTTGACTCTACCAAAGAGGTTAAGAAACATCACTGTTTTTACAGAAGCTAAATGACTGACTGTATACAAGAAGGCCAATGGGAATACTGGGAAACTCCTGAACCTCCATACAGAATATGACCTCCATACAGAATTTGCTTGTCAAAGACCCTTAATATAAACCCTTGCAAGTAAAACATATTTTTCTTTATTTATGTTTTACATTTTAGTTGGGAATATGAACTAAACTGCTGAGCTGCTGAACTTGCTGATCAAAAGGCTAGCGGTTCAAATCAAGGGAGCAGGGTGAGCTCCCACTGTTAGCCCCAACTTCTGCCAACCAGCAGATGCACTAACTGAAGCTGGTACTCTGGGCTACAAAACATGTTCGAAAATATGCAAATGTGTGTAGAGTAATAGGTACCGCTTCTGCAGGAAGGTAACAGCACTCCATGCTGTCATGCTTGCCACATGACCTTGGAAGTGTTTACGGACAACGCCTGCTCTTTGGTCTAGAAATGGAGATGAGCACCACCTCCCAGAGTTGGACACGAATATGCTTAATGTCATGGGAAACCTTTACCTTTACCTAAGATTTATTTGAGCATATTTTATAAACATGTGGCTCTGCTGAGGAGTGTAAGAGGGAAAAAAACCCATCAAATCATACCCTTGGGGAGTTAGGGCAGGTTACAAATAAAGCATGTTTTTTTGTATTGGCCCTACAATAAACAAATGTATGTGTATCCCTTCTGGTTCACCCCAATACTTCATATCCAGTATTATATCTCTAACTATTCAGCATCACAGGCTTTGGAGAAATAAAATATAGAACCATCCCTTATAATCAAATAAGCCATCTCTTGATGAACCCACGTTTCTCAGAGATATTGGATTATTTGTATGTCGAATACTTCGCTATTATTAATTATCCAGTACCCCATGACATATTACTGGGCATGGAGTGTTTATACACAGAAAATGATAGTTGATGATCAAGTTCATGTGAACTCCACTGGGATCCATGACATTTTGGAAGCAGAATACCATTGGATGAAAGATAAAGGTTTCCCCTGACATTAAGTCTAGTCGTGTGGAACTCTTGGGGGTGGTGATCATCTCTATTTCTAAGCCAAAGAGCTGGCATTTTCATAGTCACCTCCAAGGTCATGCGGCCAGCATGACTGCATAAAGTGTCATTACCTTTTGCCAAAACAGTACCTATTTATCTACTCACATTTGCATGTTTTCCAACTGCTAGGTTGGTAGAAGCTGGGCCTAACAGTGGGAATTCACTCAGCTCCCCGGCTTCAAAGCACCAACCTTTTGATCAGCAAGATCAGCAGCTCAGCGGTTTAATCTGCTATGCCACCTGGGACTGCTGGATATGTCTACTTACTGTTCCATGTTGCTTGAGTTCTGGTTAACGCTGAATTTACATCAGGCCTAGGCAAACTTGGGCCCTCCCTTCAGTTGTTTTGGACTTCAACTCCCACCATTCCTAACAGCCTCAGGTCCTTTCCCCCCCCCCTCCCCCCATCACTTAAGTCTGAGGCTGTTAAGAATGGTGGGAGCTGAAGTCTAAAACAGCTGGAGGGAGGGCCCAGGTTTACCCATGCCTAGTCTACATTCATAAGAAGATCAAATACCAGGATTTATTTATTTTTTTGGCAGGTTGGATATAATGCAAAGAGAGGGTTGATTGGTGCTTCTTGAATATGTGAGACCTGTGGCGTTATTGCAGAATACTGATGCCGTTAAATAATTCAATCCTTTCCCATTTGACAGTTAGGCATCTGTCTCGAGGCAGCAGCATCAACAACAATAGTAACAAGCAATTTTCCAAGAAAAAGCAGAACAGGTAGACATAGAATCATAGAATCATAGAGTTCGATTCTTGTGGGCCATCCAGTCCAACCCCCTGCCAAGAAGCCAGGGAATCGCAAAGAAGCTGACCTTTAGATCAGGAGGTTTGCTCCGGGTGACAGGATGGGTCGGTGGGTTGGGATTGGAGGCCCCCGAATCCGACTGGCCGGCCGCTGCATCCCCAGGCTTGGCATCCATGGTGGGCAGGATGGGGGCATCTTCGGCCCCGGTGGGGTCTTCCTCCGGCTGCTGCAGCTCATCCGATTTGCACCTCTTCATGCTGGGGGGCAGGTCGAGCCGGTTCTCTTGACCCTTGAAAGCAGCCAAAATGAAGGATAGGAAGGAAGGAGAGGAGGAAGGGGAGAGAGAGGTGGAAGAAGAAGAAAAACACACATAGCCTGCTTAGAGGGAGCTGTGAAATTCTGTGAAATACACAGAAAAGCAGACTAGCGGGAGAAGCTGGGCAGAGAAGAAGCCTCTATCCAAACTGGCTGCATTGCATTGGATTCAAATGGCAGGAAAGGAGATCCCACCTAAGCCAATAAGTGAAATGTGCTGCTTAGGAGGATGCTGGGGTCGCCTTTCCTGGAGGCTTTAAAGCACAGGCTGGATGGCCATCTGTTGGGAGGGCTTTGATGGTGTCAAATGTTCTTTGGGGTCTCTTCCAGCTCTAGCCAATGTCATGACTCCTTCCCAGGCTCCCACCCAAACTTCGAGCTGTGAAATGCACAGAAAACCAGGCCGGAGGAAGGAGCTGGGCAGAGAAGAAGCCTCCATCCCAACTGGTTACATTGGGTGGGATTCAAATAGCAGGAAAGAAGATCCCGCCTAAGTGGGAGTCTCCTTTCTTGGAGGTTTTTAAGCACAGGCTGGATGGCCATCTGTTGGGAGGGCTTTGATGGTGTCCAATGTCCTTTGGGGCCTCTTCCAGCTCTAACCGATGTCATAATGAATCCCTTCCGAGTTCCCACCCAAACATCGAGCTGTGAAATGCACAGAGAAGCAGACCGGAGGAAGAAGCTGGGCAGAGAAGAAACTGGTTGCATTGGGTGGGATTCCAATGGCAGGAAAGGGCATCCCACCTAAGCCAATAAGTGGAATGTGCTGCTTGGGGAGGTGCTGGAGTCTCCTTTCCTGGAGATTTTTAAGCACAGGCTGGATGGCCATCTGTCGGGAGGGCTCTGATGGTGTCAAATGACCTTTGAGGTCTCTTCCAGCTCTAGCCACTGTCATAACGAGTCCCTCCCGGGCTCCCACCCAAACTCAAGCTACAAGAGGTGCCCGTGGTGGGATTGGGGGTGTTATTGACATGTATCTACGCAGGGCCCCTTCCCTCCCATGCCTCTACTCACTGGTTAGGGAAGCTCAAGAGCCAGCCTGCTCTCAGCGCCTGCCGGGGCTGCAGATTCCCTTCCGATGAGTGCATGTCTCTCTCCCTGGGTTCTCCCTCTGAATAGGTCCGGCAGCTGCTTGTCTGGCTGGCGATCTGGCCGGCTTGGCTTGTGCCTCTCTTGCGCCCGGAGCTTCCAGAGCAGAGCCCTCCGCCTCACCCACCCAACCCCAGCGAGCCGGCTTGGATGCGGGGATTGACAGCCGGGCCCGGCCAATCAGGAGGCGAGCCCGATCTGGAGAGCCAGCGGCGGCCGAGCCCCTCGCGCCATTCCCAGGCTCGGTTGGCCGGGGGCTCCTCTCGGCCCCGCCTCCTCCTCCAGCTCCTCCTCCTCCTCCAGGCCCCCTCCCTCCCTCGCTTCCCAGGAGCTGTCAATAGGGGAATGGTGCTGCACTGGGCTGCGGCTTTGCAGGGGAGGAGGCGGGAGGAGGAGGAGGAGGAGGATGCGCCTCCTTTGGACCCCTCGCAGCGGATCACGTCAGTCATCCCGTTGCCATGGGGACGCCGCCGCCGCCGCCTCCCACCACTACCAGCCCTGTCTTTGTATCGGGTGGAAGCATCCCTTACCCCCAAAGGCCTCGGAGGCCAGAAGGGTTGGGGAATTAGGCTTCCTTCCGGTTTGGGAATATTTACCTATTGAGAGCGAGTTGAGATTGAAACCTAAACACGAAATACATGGGTGTTTCATGGGGGGCGTCTTCATTGTAGAATTGAGGCAGTTTGAGGCCGCATTAACTGCCATGGCTCAATGCTATGAAATCCTGGGATTTGTAGCATTACAAGGCCTTGAGGCTTCTCTGCCAAAAGCACCAGTGCCTCATAGAATCATAGAGTTGGAAGAGACCTCATGGGCCATCCAGTCCAACACCTCCAGATATTGCTGTAAAACATTCCCATCACCATTTCGATACTGTCTGAGCTGGAGCATAACATTTGGGAGCCAACATACACCTCCTTGGTGTATAGAATTGAGACCAAAATACTCTCAGCACAATCCTATACAAATAGGAGAAATAAAACAATCTCATCCCAGTTAGGGTGTCTCCCTAACTGGAGGGTATATGATGAAAGTAAGGAACAAAAAGAATCCATTTCAGTTCATCTGATAATCCACCTTCTCCTCGCAAGTGTTCTTCCCAAATCTGCAAAGGAAAAAAAAAAGAGAGAAATAGCAAAGAATTTAAATCTTCTGGATGTTCCTTCTCTTTCAAAATTAAATTCCTAATACAGTACATTTCAGCTAGACATAATTAGATTTTTGGATAAAGTTTTGCATTCTGCATCATAGTCCCAGACAAATATAACAACAATCCCAGTGAGAAAATGTGTTATCTGTTCCTTGCTATGAGTTATGGACAGCTCATATCCTAGAGATAATAGGCTATCTTGTGAAAATTAATATTTTTAGTGACAAAGATGTAAGCACTCCAAAAGTAACATAATGAATGGGAATTACATGGTGTGTCTGTTATTGCTGTTGTTTTAGGGTAACAAGTAACATTTTTTTCTAGTAACTTTGTGAAGTTTCCTTTTATGGGCATTTTTCTTGACATTTTGAGTGGATTCCCCCCCCCCCCCCCCCCCCCAGGATTTATGCTGTTTTCTCTGTTGGCTCTATAAAAGCAAGAGAAACTAACAAGTAATAATTGTGCTGCCTTTTCTCCTCTCATCACAATGTGTAAAAAAGATTCACATTTCTAACATTGTAATGTGAATTACTTTTTAAAATGTGTTTTCCAAGCTCTGAAGCTTTCTGTAATTTAGCATATTATTGCTCAAAGTGAAGGTCCATGAACTTGTACAAGTCCTTTAGGCAGCTGCTTTCTTTCCTAGTAAGTTTCTGGGAAAGAAAGAAAAAAACAATTGTACCCAACAGACTCAAATATAAAGCAAGTCCCTGGCACATGGGGAGGGGAAATGGCTAGTTCTCTACAATCATCAAGTAGCCTAAGAAGCATTGATTCTATCCCTGTCTTGCAATTGAGCTAGATTTATCTATATTATCATAAAAGCAAAGCGCAACATGCAAAGGAGGACTACAAGAAAAAATGCTAACCACTACAGCTAATACAATATTATTTTGCTTATAATAGCCTGTTGAAATGGTATTACTTTTTGATCACTTTTTGTCATCTGACATATATCAGTGTTTCTTGGTTTGTGTGTGCATTTGTAATAAAAAGCATTAATATTCTGTTTGCCTAATATTTTGTAGCATACCTCCTGTCATCCTAAATTAGTTATGGCAGAGACAGTTGTAACTTCAGAAATACCAATATGATTGATTACTCTTTTGAAGAAAGGTGTTGATTTAGGTGACTTTTCCATTTTGAGGACTGCTATACATCTGCAAGGACTTGCATTAAAATATCTAGTAGTTTGGGCAGAACAAGACCATGTAACAAATGGCAGTAGGCTATTTGTTCGGTTTTGCTAGGATTCTCATTCACACGGCACAGCTACAGTATCATCACTCCACTTAAACATTCACAACTCCATACTGTGGAATCCTGAAATGTGCAATTTAAAGGTAGGTTTTTAGAAATCTGTGTGAGAGAGATCAGCGGCTCACCAAACTACAAATCCTAGGATCTCAAGTAATGCAGCTTTAGCCGCAAAAGTAGAATCAGAGTGTTATAATTATGTCGTATGGACGTGAGTATATCTACTTTTGCAAAGTGACTTTAGCTGAGCTATACAACTACATATGTGGTATCAGCTTCACATTGTAGTGATGTATAATACAATTAAGTAGCTTAAGTGTCTGAGGATGACCACCTTGCAGCAACATAATTCACCATGCTTTTTTTTGGTATGTGTCAGGAGCAACTTGAGAAACTGCAAGTTGCTTCTGATATGAGAGAATTGGCTGTCTGCAAGGACATTACCCAGGGGACGTCGGGATGTTTTGATGTTTTACCATCCTTGTGGGAGGCTTTTCTCATGTCCCTGCATGGGGAGCTGGAGCTGACAGAGGGAGCACAACGGACTCTCCCCAAATTCAAACTGTTGACCTATTGGTCAGCAGTCCTGCTGGCACAAGGGTTTAACCCCTTGCACCACCAGAGGGCTACACCTTGCTGAAATAGAGCAACTTTCATCCATTCAGAGTAATTAAAATCAATTTCAAGAGTCTGTAAGTGGAAATTATGACTGTCACTGTATCTGATCAGGACTGGTCCTACCATGTAGCAAAATAATACAAAGTGCTTTGGGTGGTAGAAATAAATCTGATTAAGGAAGACATTGATGTCTAAATGGTGCACCATAGTTTTCAGAGTACATCCCTATACATGTGTACTCAGAAGTAAATCCTATTATTTCAGTTAGGTTTATAATTATTCCCATTTAAGTATACCAAGCAGGAGAAAGCAACTTCCAAAGGTGATGGTTGCATTTTGCACCACCACCACAAACCCCCTGGGGGCAGTATCATGTTGCTAAATGTGTGTGTTGGCAAAGATAGTAACAACAACACCTCTGTCCCACTCCACTTTTCAATGAAACAAAACACATGGGGTGCTACTGGGAGTAGAATACATCTTGAAATTGAGCTACCTGGGTTTTGCGTTCTTTCTTTTAAATATATGTCACATTCTTGCCTTGAACTCAGTGGCAAGATATTTTTTTAAAAAGGAGAAAGTGGAGTAAAGACCTTGTGTAGACTAATCATGTAAGTTTGCAATTTTACAGTGTAGGTTACAGGATTATAACCATAAAATGTTTATCCTAGAATGAGGATGAAACACCACTTAATGCTCTACTTCAGGCAGCAAAATATCTTAGAATCAAACTGTTTTTTATATGGTAGTAATCCTTTCATGTGGTAGTAACCCTTTTATGACAACCAAAAGGCACAAACTTTGAAACTTTTCATAGGATTTGTTCCGTTCTCTTTTGTCTTCTATTATCCACATACAAGTTATTCAGAGCTTGAAAACCAACCAAAGTGTCCCAAAAAATATACTGTGTTACTTATGTTTACATTTTCATCTCAACTCTTTTCCTCTTCTCATTTGAACTACTGCAGAAGGCCATAACTTAGCTAGTGCTAATTGATTTATGAATAGTGTAATGTTAGTCACATTAGTTGAAAATATATAGTTCCATGAGCAAGAACATTTTAGTGACAAGTTTTAAAATGGGATTACATTTCATAATGAAAATGCATATTATTTTTCTAAGAGCCTGAAATCCTCAAAGAGTATAATCATCCTATGCAGTTCATCAGAGCCTATTGTGAATGGTTCTCAGCCAGAACATAAGATTCTCTATTTATTTTGGGTTATTTCCCTGAAGCAAAAACCTCAGCACTTTTGGCAGCAACCTGATCTGGGGAAAACTAATTAAGGGGTTCATTTCATCATCGTGTGTCCATAATTTGAGGCTTCAGTGCTTTCAGATAAATTGATTTACCTTACTGAGACAAAACCGTTTCAGCAGACCACAGATGACCTGTTTCCTCCAAAGGAAAGAGCTGTGATGAAAATTAACCATGATAGATCCTTAAGCTTCTCTCATTTTAGTGTATTTTCTATTTCTGAGCTTTGCAAGTTATGTCAGCACAGACCAGATGTGTTCCAGTAGGTGGTCTCATTGGCTAGGCTATTTCAGTAAGGACTCATTTTTAAAACATGGCTTTAATGCAGCTTTATAAGAATATTCATTAGTCTGCATGAGGGCTAAAGCTTTAGAATGTCTGCTACATAATTCACTTTTAAATTCATGGCATTGAGACAGCAGGAGAGCATACCCTGTTGACAGCAAAAACATCCCATGAAAGGGCCTGAGGGACTTTCACTTCATTAAATTGAGTGAAAAGGTTCTCAGCTTGGAGCCATTTGGCAATGATCTTGTGGCATATGAAAAATGTAGGATGAGTTGGATAATGCATTGGCTTAGGGCTACCCAGAGATGGAGAGCATGTAATGTAATTTACTCTGGGCCATAACTATGTAAGAAGAGCCTTGTCCCATAGAGATCCTATGTCTGTCTACTCTAACCCCTGCCCCATCACATTGCTTACCAGAACTTCACTTGCCATATGAATAATTATAGAGGCAGTGGCAAATTCGTCTTCCATCCCTATCTGGGCAGTCCAGACTTGCTCCATTTTTTTCTGGAGTGAATAGTTTCCTCACATTCAAATGCCCACAGCCCTATGTGACATTGAGTGATTACAGTAATGTGAGAATCT